CCATATCGGCATATCATTTTAGATTGTTCAAGAATCAAAAAATCAAAACTCTGAACTTGGCCTCTCTCTCTTTGCAACTGCAAACTACAAAATCTACACTCTCCAACGACTCATCCGGATCTGGTCTGACTAGATTCGATCCCGACTCACCCACCAACTCGTCGCCTTACCGCTGACTCACCCACCAACTCCCCGCCTTGCCGCCTCCCAAACTCACCCAACATAGTGGATGTATTCTGGGTTTGAGATAGAGAGAGCTTAGAGAGAGACACGGCTACCATGGTGGATGTATTCTAGGTTTGAGATAGAGAGAGCTCAAAGAAAGAACGGCTGCTGCTACTATTGAAGTGTAGGGTTTGAAACTTAAGTGTAGGGCTTCCAATATATATATATATATATATATATATATATATATATATATATATATATATATATATATATACTGAAGGTTAATTTGGTAAATATATTAATATGGCAGGGTAAATTAGTAATTTAAAATATTAAACGGGGCGGTTATGGGGCGGGGATCTTAGTCCCCCTCCATCGCCCCGCAATTGACCGGTTTTTTTTTTCTTAACCCCTAACCCCACCCCATTTAAGTAAACGGTTCTCCAAACCCACTTTAAATGGGGCGGGGGCGGGGCGGTTCCCCACCAAGTTGGGGATATTTGTCACCCCTAGCCACGCTAGAGGCCTTATCTAGTGAGGATAACCCACTAACTCACTATAACGGCCACGTTGACCCTGGCGAACTGGCCGCGATCGCTTAATTTTTTATTTTTTTTAAACTCAGCCTTAAAATGAATGCAACGCTACAATGTTTTTGCTAGGCATAACAATATCCCCTGACCCCCACTGCTTTCCGCCCCACCCCTAATAGGACATATTTGGTAGACTCTTAAAAAGATTTGGGACGGATATGATAAAATAATTGAAAAGCCAAAGCTGGTTTGAGGCGAGGGCAGATTTAGTGATAAACTCGCCCCAACCCCGCTTCGATTATATATGTACCTTTATATATATATATATATAAAGACTCTCATGCGGTCCAAAACAACCGACTTTTCAACGGACCAAAACTCAATTAGTCAATTACACTATATTACTTTATCAGAATTAATCATAGTTAATAATGTTAACTTTAATAGTCAATTTACCATAGTTAATCAATACCTTAATTTAATCTCTCTCCTCCTTAATCTCTTCCATCTTCCCTGCAATCTCAACCATTACCGTCATATCCACACCATCACAACCACCATCTTTACCACTACAGCCATAACACAACTACCATATTCATTCTCCAAAATCAGACTCTAAGGCTATTAGATCCAAGTCACTCTCTCTTTCTCTTTCTTCTTTTAACACTTTGATTTATTTATTTTTTATTTCTTATATTTTTTGCTCTTTTAATTTTTACTTTAGGCCATCAAGCGAAAAAAAATCAAGAGAGCAAAAAAATAAAAAATAAAAGCGCAAAAGACAAACAATCCCCCCTAAATTGAAAAGAAAAAAAATTAAGAGAGCAAAAAAAATAAAAAAAAAAGCTTATTCACGAATCCTGAAAATTTGGTATCCTTTGAACCCTAAAAAAAGCTTATTCACGAAGTATGGAATACTGAGTCACTATAGTAAATTGACTATTAAAGTTAATATTATTAACTATGGTTAAGTCTCATAAAGTAATAAAGTGTAATTGACTAATTGAGTTTTAGTCTACTCAAAAACTCGTTCTTTTGGATCGCATGAGAGCCTTCTTGATATATAATCTATATTTAATATTTTTAAGACATTTGTTACTTTGCTGGAAGTTTGACTTAATAAATTAATATTCACTACTTAGTAATTTAAAAATTGTATCAGCTTATTTATTAGTCCAATTTGAACACATTGGACTGTTTTTATTTTTATTTTTTTTTATTTTTATTTTTATTTTTTTATTTTTTACTACATAATTAAAGTAGCATAACCCGCCTCGCCTCGCAATTAAATGAAGTATATGGGACAGAGTAGGTACTTTGTCTACTAGAGTAGGGACGAGGATGGCATATCAATTACAAACTGGTTCTGAAATAGGGACGGAGTTGGTATGATGAATTTTGTAATGAGGTGGAGTAGGATTTTGCAAAACTCGTCTTAACTCCGCCCCATTGCCATCCCTAGTTTTTTGCCAGCAAATTTTTAAAAAATAAAGGGGGCAAAGGTCAGTGCCTTAAGGGCATGTTTGGCTGGACCCTCACACTTTTTGGTCCTTTTTTTTTTTTAAAGAAAAAATCAGTAAATAAATAATATAGTCCTTAGGCATAGTTTGGCTCAACCAAATAGTGCCTAAGGACTATATTGACCTAAAAAATAGGGTTTTTTTTTTTTTTTTTTTTTTTTTTTTTTTTTTTTTTAATATTTAAACCTAAAAAACAGTTATTTTTTTTAGGGTAAAGTACACCAACACCTCCTGAGGTTTGCCAAAAGGACACCTAGATGAAAGATTGTCTATTTTGGGACAATGACACCCCCTTAAGTTTGATACAAGTACCAAAGACACCCCAATGGTAATGAATTGACATTTTTGCTCTTTGACTTTTATATTGACCAATTTAAATGTTGAAATGATGTTTATAACCTCATACCCATAACCATTTCTTTCATTCTCTCCTGTGTTCTCTCTTCCTCGCACACACACACATATATATACACACACCCACACACATATTTATATGTATATACAGATACATATATATATACACACACAAAAGATGACAGGATTATGAGTTTCCTTAACTCTCTGTTCACCGCCGAAAACGCAAAGAAAGCTGAGATCTCTTCCTCTTTCGGAGACTTCTATGCGAAACTATCAGACTATGGAGTCTACAGTGGATCGAAGACGCCGTCGACGAAGAAGACAAGTAGATCGACGGTGAAGTGTTGCGAGGTCCTCCCGGTCCAGGGGCAAACGCCGGAGTTAGGGATGGTCCGTAAGCTATCGTGTCGAATATAGGCAGAACTTGAGCATTGGAGAGATAAGCTTTAAATGGAAGTCAAACGCCGAACAACGAGATCTCTGGTAATGAAGCTGAGCTCAGTATCGGAACAAACTCACGTCTCATCTCCAAACACAACCCGAAAAGTCGATCTCTGATCGTCGATGAGGGTGTAATACCCTATATTACCGAAACCCTCTACTCTTTCTCTCTAATCTCCCAATAAAACTCCATTGCCACCCTCCTCAACCTCCCCATCTTCAGCCGCGAAGCCCTATTGTCCACCCGCGGCCTCCGAGAAGCCCTAATGTTTGACTGTAGTCATTTGGGGCAAGGTTGAGTCCAGTGATGCCCTTTTTGGTAGCACAACCATCAATGATGTTGATTTAGATGGGTGGGCGGTGGAGGGGAAGGCGGGCAGTGGCGGTGGAAAGCTTCGGCTTTAATGATATCGGCTGTGATGGAGGCGGCGGCGAGCTTGGTGATGTGCAAGGCTGAAAATGGTGATGTCATGGCTCGGCCGTGGATGGTGGCGACGGCGAGCTCGACTTTGGATGATGGTGGCCGATGAGCAAGGACGGCCAGAGAGAAAAATCCGGCGGTGATAGCTTGACTCTTCTGTAAATGGGTTGTTTTTTTATTTTATTTTATTTTATTTTTTATTTTTTTTGGTTTGGTTTTGTAATTAACTAGTGGTGAGGGGTGAAGGTGATGAATCAATAGAGAAAATTAATTGTCAGAATACACAGGGGCTGGTTGTTGGGGTGGAGATGGTGGTGGTGGGTTGGGAGTGGGGATGGTGGAGGTTATGGATTTTGGTATAGTGGTGGCGCTAGAATCTGGTTGTAGGGTTGATTTGGTGCTGAGGGTAATTTGGTTATTTAAGTATTTTGATATTTTATAATTAAAATTAATAAAATAGTGAAGGGTAAAATGGACTTTTCATATGTTTTAAGAATGTATTTGGATGACAAATTTCGCAAGGGGGTGTGGTTGTCCCAAAATAGACAAACTTTTATTTAAGTGTCCTTTTACCAAACTTCAAGGGGTGTCTCTGTACTTTATCATTTTTTTATTTACTTTTTTTCATTTTATGCGAAAAAGGTTGTGATAACCTATTTATTTACTTAAGAAAAATGATAGGTCTTCTGACGTTAATTGTCGACTCTTCCTACGAATAAAACGTGGTTGGATCCCATTGAAACTCTTAAAAAAATTCCCGTAAACATATCTTTCTCTTCGACTCATTCTCAACTACGTTATATTAGGAGGAGTAGTCGGCAATTGAAGTCGGACGATCTATCACTTCTCTTCACTTAATCCAGGCTTGAATATTATATTGTTTCATTTATTTGTAATTGATTTTCCATGATAAGGGATATTGTATTGCTTATTTATTTTATGTTTTATTATTTCATAATGTATGTATGCCTTTATTATTTTATTCCATAATGTAATGTGTTGTTTTAAGTTATAAAATATATTTTTACCTTCATTTATATTATTTGTACTTTTTTATTATTAAATAATATAACAATAAATAGTTTGTATAAATATATTCATTAGAAAAAATTTAAAGAATATATAAGATAAAAAATATATATAAGATGAAAAATATAACCATTGGTAATATATATATATATATATATATATATATATAGATGTAGAGGAAAAATTCAAAGAGACTGTTGTAGCACCAAAATCTGAAAAGTAAAAACTGCCTACCTGGCACTAGAAAAAGCTAACTCGACCCTGAAAAAATCAATTTACCAAATTGTTGTGGGATTATTTGCTTTTAACGAAGTGTTGGTATTAGTTGATTACAAGAATGACATAGCATAACCTTGTAAAGAATAATTTGTCTCAAAACTTAGCTAGGAAGTGTGTCCAAATAAATTCATGTGTATGGGTGGTCGGTTGAGTGAGCATCAAATGTACACTTCAACCGAGACGTGAATAAAGCAGTTCTCTCTCTGTCTAAAAAGTTTTTTGTCCTCTTTATATAATAACAACCTCCAATCATACTACAGATCACAAAACCGCGTGATTGGTTTGGAAAGGCCAAAAGAGAGAGTAAGAAAATGGTACGGTCTTATTTGAATATTCAACTAATAATATGATCAATCCTCCTTCCTCTTAAGTCTTATCTTCCTTCACTCTTTCTCTAGTTCATTACACTTCAGTTCCCTACCGCTATATATATATATATATACACACACACATATTCATAACGTTATCAGGCCGGCGATGGATCACCGAAATCGATTGAATCAGCAGCGTCCGAACGGCAAGCAAGTGGCTGGTCGTCCGAACAGGCCGCCTCCGCAGCCGGCTGTGGGTGTTTGTGGCGGGCTGCCGGGGGGCCTTGGGAACGGGTTGCTGGCGGGCATTAATAACGTTATCCAGGTATACGTCCAGGCGCCACCGCCGTCGCCGCCACCGCAACCGCCGGTTGCCATACAGATAAATGTTAATAAGGATCGCGTAGTGAAGGTCCCACGGGGGAAGGGGAAGGATGGAGGCCATGTTGTTCATAACAACAGGACTAAGGTAAGTAGGGACGGATCTAAAAATTCATGCGAGGTACAGTAAATTTATATATAAAGGGATTTTTTCATTATTTTAGGGGGGTAATTTCAAATTTTTATGGGTATATACGTAAAAAAAAAAATATATAATTTTAGAGATATAAAATGTAAAAATAAAATTTTTTATGAGAGGCACATGCTTTCACTGATCCCTTCACGTATCGGTGCCTGAAGGTAAACCGTATCAAATGTAAACATGTTTACTCTAATTGATTGACCCAAGTGTTACTATTTTTTAAACATTTCTGTACATTTGTCTCGTTAAATTGATCTAAATATTTTTAACTTGTGTGAAGATTGTCTTTGTTAAATAGATCTAAATAAGTGCAAAAGTACCATATTAGAATTTCAGTTCAATTTCATGATTTCTTGTGATCATTTTGACTTTCAAAGTTGTCTTCTTCTTCATCTGGGAAATTTTTTATATGTCCATTTTTCTATAGGTAAATTAATTGAGGCAGTAATTGTGCTTTAAACTAGGTTTGACTATGCTTTTGTTGTGTCTCTAAGAGAAATCACTTAGATCGGAATTAAAAAGGGCTTAGGCATATATGTGCTAGTAACTAACAGGCCAATGATCTAGCGGTATCGAGTCTTTAGTTTTTTAAAAGGAGATCGGGTGTTCGAACCTCAATGAAGACGTGTGTGTGAGTATCAACTAAAAAAAATTATGCGCGAGTAGCTGTGTATGCATTATTAATAGTACCTAACATGTATCTCAAGTATTTGGGTTATTAATACCTAACATGTATCTCAAGTTTTTGGATTAGAGTACAAATGCCTGCCCTCCTTACAACATGTTGAGAATTATGTGTTTGTTTAAACCTTATAATAATTAGACAAGTAGCTCCAATTCTTTTGCAATTGCATAGTTTCACCATAAACATTAGGTTAGGATTAATTTTAGAGGGGAAATAATAATATTTTATAGGTACATAATGAAAAAAAGAAAAAAATAACAAGGTATATTGGTAAAAAAAAAATTAGAGTGCCCCTCACATGTGTGTAGGTCCATTCCTGACCATAATTCAGAGAAGCCTTAAGAACAAAAGGATTAATAACAGCGGTAGTTTTTTTCTATGATATTGAAGAAAATGATAAACTTATAATGTTGAGGAAGATGAATTCGACTCTAAAAAATGCGTGCCTATTCGATACATGTTAGACATAAAGAGTTTAAGATCTGTTGGTTTATAGTGTCTTTTTTTTCTTTTTCTTTTTTCGGGTAAGTTGGTTTATAATGTCTTCTTCTATATATTTTTCTCTGGTTTACAAATGAATATAGGAACACGGTGGAGGAACAGACACGCGAAGGTCAACAACATCGGGGGGCCAAGGTTCCCATAATTTCAAACAACAGGTAGACTTGAATTTTCATTTGTAAATGAGTAATGTTTATTTATGCAGTTCATATAATCCTAATTAAGCTGAGTTTGGTTGCTAACTTGTTTGTAAATTAGTCACATATTCATCATCATACAAGTCATAGCTCAACGACAACGACAACCACGAAACAAAGTGGAACAGGCAATACAAGCACGAAGGTTACTACAAGCTCCATGACAACCACAAAGATAAGTAACACAAGACAGGTAATTTCAATTTTCACATATGCAGGTTAGAAATTTTCAAATTGGATTGAATCAATTAACTCACTAGAGGTAAATATGATCGCAGATTCAAAAGGGCAAGGGCAAAGACAATGACAATAACAATAGAAAGGGTAACAACAGTAAATAATGGCGCGGGAAGGGGATTTGTTAGAGGCAGAGGCAGAAGCAGAGGCAGAGAAATGCATCCACATGGTGGAAGCAACACTCAATTAAGTATTTTGCCATGTACTCTGATACCATTTGTAGTGATGACGGTTTGAACATTGCAATTGTGTTTTTTTTTTTTCTAAACAATGAGCCTGTGTTGTCTTAATTCAAGTACTGTTGTTTGGTTCACTGATTGTCTTTTGACTACTATGTGATCAATATTCTCTTTTGTTCAATTAGGCACACTATACCAAAAACAAATACCATCGACTCTTAATATTGTGACAGCAAGCTAACGTAGCTATTGCATTTTCATGGAGGCACTTAATCTTGTTCCAAAACGTGTACTTCACATTTCAAAATAAACTTGCATTAAACATATTTGTTGAGTTACTGTAGATGTTGAGGAAGGCAAGACTATATATATGTATATATATAATTATATAGCTACTGGCTTACACCATTTCCATAGATTGCATTTTCTAGTTGGGCAAACATAATAGAGTTTTAGAGTGTAACCTTGATTGAAATCATTTTCCCATATCCACATACCTTGTCCTCTTACCCGAAATCCATACTGTCACCCTCCTCCGTGCTTGAAAACTCCATGCTCGATTTCAAGGAAGTTATACTCTCCAATTAATAAACCCTAATGTTGTCTAAACGTTTACAAAAGATACAATAAAATTACTAGCAGTAAGACCGCAAGAGAATGGTTCGTGGAGAGCGAGATATCAGCAATGACATAGGCCAAAGCTGTAGGTGCATAAAATCTCGGACCGAACACCGAAGTCCGATCAAAGAATTCCAATGCCCAAACACTCAATTCAGAACAATATCAGTAACTCAATAGTCAGAGAAAAAGAATAGAATACGTTGGCCGGAAAATCCCTTGTCTTTTGTTTGGGTCTTTTGCCCGTATTTATATTGTATTTTGTAACCGTAATGGAGCCTTCTTATGACTTTTCTTTTTGATTTAAACAACAGTCCGAGATATTAAAAATCTGACTTTGAATATCAGTACCGCCATTGCCACGCTCATTACCGAACCTTGATTGAGAAAATCGATAATCTCAGATTATTAGGATTTCTTAGTTTGATTGTTATTTAGTTTTCTTATTGTAAAATTTGATAGGTAATATTCCAATTGTTATTTAGTTTCCTTATTATAAATTTGACTTATTTAGAATAGAATAGGTAGTATTTTGATTTTTATTTACTTTTCTTAGTGTAAGTTTGACTTACTCAAAATAGGTAGTATTCGGATTGTTATTTAGTTTCCTTAGTGTAAATTTGACTTACTTAAAATAGGATTTCAGTTATACTCTATATGTATATGATTTTACTCAATGAAAAAGCTATGCCATAATTTTCCCATTCTTTAAACCTTTTATGGTATCAGAGATCTCTCCTCCTGGAACTGCAAAATCCTAATCTCCGGCACTAACCATGGCCAACGAAAATAATCAAGCCATAATCCTAAATACACAGGAACCCACCAAACCCCTTATCGTTTTCAACACCAACAATTCATTAAAACTCACCTCCACCAATTATCTCTCCCAGAAACTACAGATGGAAGCAATTCTAATTGGTTATGATCTTCAAAAATGCATTGATGGCTTTCATCCTGTTCTTCCTGCTACAACTACTGCAAATAATATCACCACTCCTAATCCAGCATACCAAAGATGGCTTCGCCAAGATAAACTGATTTTTGGTGCCCTCGTTGGCACCCTCACATCGACTCTCATCTTATCACTCAATCGCAAACCTCCCGTGAAGCTTGGAATGTGTGATACCCCCGGATTTTCGGATGCGGGTTGGCCAGGCCCACGCCCGATTACCCGAGGATATCAAATCAATTAGTAATAAACGAACACAGAATACAAATAAGGAAATAAGAATAAATAAAAATTTGCTGAAAAGAAACTAGAATGATAATCCAAATACTGAAACCTCAGAATAAAATTAAATTAATAAAGAATTATTCTGATACATCCAAATTCTCCATTGATAATACAACTCGGGAATCCATCTGGTGGACCCCTAAAAACTTCAACACTGAAGCCATCAACTGAAGAACTTCACTGCTAAATCATGAAGAAGCTCCTACGTCGTCGAAATAATGAGAAGCCGTCTCTGCTCAGTACGAACAAGATCTAAGACCTGGAACCGTCCGTTACCTGAAAAATAATAGTAGGTCAGGCCCACGAACAAGTTCTATCCTAACTACAATCCAAACAGACACCCGATATGCAGATACATCCTAGATGTCTCAACCATATCTATAAAGTCCGTAATAGATAAATATATATCCATACTACAGGACTCTTACTAAACTATGCTGAGGGTCTCAACCTGAATAGAAGGCAACATGCATCTGACTGCATATACGCACCCTAACCGTCGACTATGAGACTCAAGCTCAGATCGCGGTACCATAATATATATATATAAATTCCTATCCAAACCAATGTAGTGCCGCTCAATTGTTGTTGCCATGACACGACATAAAATTAGGATTTAAATATTTTAATTAAATCCCTATCCTAATTCTATATATGAGTTCCCTCCAAATACAATGTTGTTCCGGTCAACGGTTCATTGCTTAAGACATAACATGTGATCAGGATTTAAACGTTTTAGTTAAAACCCTATCCTTCCTAATACAGAAATATAAACAACCATCAAGTATGTCATTCAACTGTGTTAGTTGATAGGACATGAAACCATCTAGGATTTAACTGTTTTAGTTAATCCATTCCGTATGTATGAATGGGTAGGGATTAGCGTTGTGACCTAATCCATCCCTCCGTATGACACCGTCCTATACCGGTGCATACATGCAAATGATCCGTAAATGATGCAACATTATAAGCAGTACATCAAATAAAGTCCACAGTATTCATATAGTTGATAAACACATAATTTAAACAAGTCATCAACTAAAAATTCAGAATCCATCCATGTAATTAAACGAGACAAAGTTTACTAATTCGTCAAGTGAAAATCCAGAATCCATCCATGTAATTAACGAGACAAATTTTAATGTTTCATCAAGTTAAAATCCAGAATCCATCCATGGCATTGATACTTTAATTCATTTAACTTAAAGTTCAACTAACCCCTAATACAGTCCAGCAGTTGACAACATTATCAATAATAAAGTGTCAATTTTTAAATTTGAGAATGATAAAATATAACTCAGGAAATCCACAGCTCTAACCAATAATTGAAGGAACAGACAGAACAATTCAACAATTAAAAAAACCACCTCCACTTAATTAATGAAACTTAATTTACTAGTTCCTTAATTAAGATCCAACCTATGCACAAATAAGTTCTAACAATTACATGACCCTATTACACATCCAAAATAGATTTTTAAATTATAAATTAGTCATGTACATTGCTACATCAATTTAAGCAATTAAATTCTCTCCGTTCGTTAGCCGTATTCGACTTGTTCTTAATCTTCTATACTGTTCAAGATCCTTAGCATAAAGTTCAAATTATGCATCCTAATGGTTTTAATACATCATGACTTAATGTTTAGAACCCTGATAACATCCACAACAAATTCTGGAACCCCATTTGTCCCAACAGTATGCAAAAACCCCTAGGAACACACTGAAACAAGAGAGCCTGCTCTTAAAATTGGAGAGCAGGCTCACAAAAACCATGGAGCCGTCTCCTAGAAAGGTAGAGCCGGCTCTACCTCTCTTAGAGCCGGCTCTACAATGGGGGGAGCGGGCTCTTTGCATTCCAGAGCCGGCTCTCTCTCTCTGAGAGCCTTCTCTCTTCTAGTGTTGCTCCGTCTTATACCAGCTTCGTCTTCGACCATTCTTGACCCTCTGTTCACCTTAATACTGAACCTAAGAGTACTATTTATACCCCATCTCATCCCCATGACTTGTTCACAAAAGTTCAGATCAAATACAGTGTTTAAAAACCTTAACCGATTAAACATGCTTCCATCCCAAACTGGAAACTAGAGATACAAGAATTAAAACAGAATAATTCCACACATACAGACATCAGATTTAGCATATAACAAGCATGTGTAATTTAATTAATGATCAATTAAAACCCTAGAGACAGTCTAAGGATGCACCGAACACAGGCAACGGGAGAGAGAAAGGAAAGAACTTGCCTTTACAGTTTTGGATTCAAAACTCTGTTGCCGTCGTTATATGTTTTTCCGGTGATCCAATTCACTGTTAAATCTCCCATTGCTCCATCTTCCCTTCTCCTATGTCCGTCCTTCAAGCCACGGCCAAACCCTCACTGTAATACCCCTAATTTGAAAAGGATAGTCTCGGTATTTATTTATTTGTTTTAATTGTATTTTTAATTATTTAATTGATTATTTGACTAATTGCTTATGTGTTTAATTGAATTAGGTATTACTTGATTATTTGATTATGTGTCTATGTATTATTTGTATTTTTCTATGTGTTAATTGTTTAATTAGGTTATGTGCTTAAATGGTATTTTGATTAATTGTAAATTAAATATTTTCTTTTCTTTTATTATTTTATTTTATTTTTCTTTTATGGTTATGGTTAGTAGTCATGGGACAACCAATTTGGTCCCATGGACTACTTGGATAGGAGGTTGGATGTGTATGGATTACTACACATGAATAGTTATATATGTATATGTATAGATATATATTATATACATATATAAAAAGGAAAGTAATTTATTAATTACTTTTATGGTAACTTGGGTAGTAATATTTAATCTGATGTATATGTTTTATATTTCAATAAGAAAAATATACATAGATTTGGGACGTGTTATGTTTTAACTTACTTTATAATATTATGGTAACTTAAGTATTATTGGATAATCCATTAATAAATAATTGAATGTGTATAATTTATTTATTTAATAAATATATACATAAATTATATACATAACATATTTTACTTACCTTTTTAATATATATATAAAAGGGAAAGTAATTTATTAATTACTTATATGGTAACTTGGGTAGTAATATTTAATCTGATGTATATGTTTTAGATTTAAATAATAAAAATATACATAGATTTGATACGTGTTATGTTTTAAGTTACTTTATAATATTATGGTAACTTAAGTATTATTGGATAATCCATTAATAAATAATGGAATGTGTATAATTTATTTATTTAATAAACATATACATAAATTATATA